GTTATTCAAGTCTTTAAGTATACTGTATGCAACAAGAGAGCAACACAGCGCAGTATCTTTGAATTGAGGGGAAGAGGAGGCACTAGGCTAGGGTACTAAGGGCACATTTTGCATTTCAACTCCATGCTTTACAAGATAGGGTGTGGGGAATGACATTTGCTACCTCTCACCCATCCTGCTTGCAGCTGCAGGGTTGGCATTACTTTCATGCATCTCTTCTCTATTTCTGCATTAAACATTGCTGTTGAGGGATTGCAGAAGAAGAGGGCAGATTCCTACCTCAGCACAGGCTAGGGCAATTATCGTACCCATGGAAATATAATTTAAAAAACACCCATTTTTCTTCTAGCATTTGGGGACAAAGAGGGCAGGAACCATGCAGAAGAGTAAATATCATCCCCATTAATGTTCACCTCAAAGATACCTGTAAGTTTCACGTGTGTCTAGAGAAGACAGAATAGACCCTTAATCTCTTCCAAGCAGTAGTAAGTCCCTGAGGAGCAATTATTTTGTACTGGAAGTAGACATCAATGGTGGGGGGAACCACTCTTTTCTACCTAAATGTTTTTGTAGTATTATTTTACAATAGTATTGCCAGTGCTGTATTATTATTGTTCCCACATTCTCCCCTTCCTCTCCTGAAATATTCCTCTGGGCAAGCTGTGGCTTACTATGGGCTTTTACAGAAGACAGTCAAAGGCAGAGCAGATAAAAATCCAGTTAACTTAACAGGCAGTAAAGCGTAGCAGTGAAAAACAAGCCTTAAGGAAGGCAACAGTTAAGCTAGCAGAAAACAATACCACTTTCTGTAGCAATTTAGGACCCTCAGAAGAGGCAAGGGAGTCTAATAGTGTGCAGTGAGGTGGAAGGGTGTAAAAGCAAGACACCTCTCAGCCCTGCAAACAGACTAACCCAGCAGTGGGCTGGAGTTTGTATGCAGAGGCTGGGTAACACAATTGCACAGCCTCTTACGGAAGCTGATACCCAGCTTCACCTAACAGGTGACATCAACTAGGCTGGCACGTGGTAGTTGACACTGTTCATTACAAGGTGCCAAACTGTGTCCACATTTTTGGGCCTGCTTGTACTACATAGGAGGGAGCAAATAGTGGGAAGAGCAATGCCTCCATTCATTCCTAATTGAATTGTATTTGGGATGCAGATGGCTATGGCAGTAAATTGGCTTCATAGTGCAAATGATGCAGATACACTGAGTCACTCAGAAAGGAAAAGTACGGGCAGGAACAGCAGCAATATGGGCTTAACAAGCCCAACCAGACACCCTGTACAATAGATGAAGCCCACACAGCTAGTTTCAAGATAGCTTAGACATAAGCATGCATGAGCTGCAATCCAGCATTTTTACTGCTAGTCTGCCACTGTCAAATTGGGTGACCTTGAAAAAGTCATAGCATCTTCCTATCCCTCTGTTCAAACTGTATAGCAAGGACACAAGAGGCCTTCTGCTATAACAAGACCTTAATCTGACTGGAATTTCTGATGCCTCAGTAACCCCAATAGTAAACATTTCAGAGACAGAACTACCTAGGGTTATCCTCAGGCACATCTTGCATTGCATATGTGTATATTATAATTTAGGCACCTACACATTAACTGTAGGTGAAGGCATCACCTTGTGCTTTTTTTTACACTTAAGTCCAAGAGACCTGCGCATCCTAAAAGGCATCTCATAGAATGAAAGAAACTGAAATAGTTGGTAGAATATGCTTTCAGCTATAAATCTGGATGGTAGAAACTGGTCTCTGCTCCAGTCCATTCAAAAATACTTTTATCTGCATATAGAGAAACCTTGCTCCATACACAGTGTGAAATAAAACATCCATGGTAGGCATTTGGAGCCTCCTTGAGAGACACTGATAAGTGAAATAATTGGGACATTACCACTAGAGACCCACAAAAGTCACCTTCCAAGTACAATGGGTTGCTTCTGACAAAAGCCAACTGAGGCGCATAATGTCGTTGCTCATTAGGTTCCCATTAATGACAAAAATTTTGATTTCAATATTTAATACACCTCAGAGATCACAGTACATAATTTAATGTGATAGGAGATAATTCGCTGATCGCGGTAAGTCATTCACCTTAAGGCAAATGGTTGCACACTTTACTGATTAACTGAACTATACATACGCACATACACAAATACACACGCTTATTATGCTGGTCTCTCCGATCAAGGAGACATTGTACTCTCTGGAGCTGATCCTCATGGCAGACAGCTAAAACCTGTACATACCATCTCTTTCACATATTGTCTAAGTACTGTATCATCCACACACGCATTGTTTTCTATCCTGACACATTGATTTATTCCAACACAGTATTAAGACACACTTCACAAGAGTGAAGCAGTTCCTGAGTTGAGAATGCTATGCCATGCAATTCTCAGTGTTACTTCCCTTTTGGCAGTTTACACGTCTGCAATGAAATCCACTTCTTGCCTGACATCTTAGGAAAGGACAGTGACTCTGTGGGCAGGAATCGTCTTTTGGGGAGGATTCATGCCTTCACAGCCAAGCGTGAGGGCACTTGGATGAATAGATATAAATGACTTTTGAGCTAGTGTGCTTGAAGGCTTTGTGGAAATTGAGCTAGTACTACAGGCTAAATCCACAGATGGACACAGAGCGGAAAGATTTTTTGTTCGTTTTTTTCACTTAGAATTTCAAGTGTATCACTTTCCTCCAGGGAACAGTAAGACCCAGATGCCAATGCTCACAATGATTCAGAAAACAGAAGGGTCATTTTTCACCTGCCTTTTCTGTTAATTCACATGCCTGTTTTAGAGTGGGTTTAAATTCTCTCAGGCAAGTGCTCCAAACTCCAACTAGCTGGGGCAGCTACTTCACAGGTTATAACCCAGCAACACTTCAGGAGATTTCACTACAGCTATTTGACTCTATAACTTACCATAGCTGCTGATCTGGGCTATAAATATCTAAATCCACTTTATTCACTTTGTACAAATTGGGCTGAATATCAGCAAAATTTTTGGAATTCCAAATAAAAGATCAGATTATTTCTAGGTATTCTCTCAATACAAAATCAAATTTAAAGGGGAAAAAAAAAAAAAAAAAAGAAGATGAAACACCACAGGGTTTATTTTGAAACTATTTCACAACATTTTGCCTGAACACTGTTCATTAACATGCAGCAGACGCTCTGTGAATCACTTTAAAAATGTACCCCTAAGTCTGAATTCATCGAGATTTCTCAAGACTTCTACATGCCAGAGATCCCAGAAGGTACCAGCAACTCATAGACATTTTTATATTTCCTCTCTGTCTCTCAGCTCAGTCAAATTAATAGGAATATATCATACCAACCAATCACGATGGAGGAATTGGAGCTGGCTATTAATGATCTCAAACAGAAAACGGCCCCTGGGCTAGAAGAGCTCCCAGTGGAGTGCCACTCTAAGTTTTAGCAAAAGCCAAAATCTGAGTGGCTTTACTAGTCTTTTTTTCCTACCCTTTCATTGCCAATTCCTCCCAAACTTACTTTACAGCACTAATATTCCTAAACAACTTCTATTGTGTGCAAAACAGCTCCCTGCTTTAAATGATGCCCCTTGCTCTGGCCAATGGATGCCAAAGCCAACTCCAGAAACAAAATCAAAAGTCAAAGCACAGAGATAGGGCCACACTCACAGCTTTCTTGGATCCACACCAACTGAGAACTTGGCCTGGTGGTGTTTTTAACTGCCAGGCCAAAAGCTTGTATCCGGTGTGCCCTAGCTTGGGCTGCCCAGATTTCTGTGAGTAAAAGAGCACAGCTTAGCTGATCTAAATAGAAACTGGGCAGAAAGACAAATTGTCAATTTTCCTTCTCTCTGTTAAGAAATTTGGGAAACTCTTCTCTCCTGAGGATGGCTATAACTGAATGTTCTTCACACATGATTTCATGTCATTATTAATAATGACAGACCTTGTCCTTTCATTAACATACTAGTTAAATTTAGTTCCTCTTTGAAGCCAAAAAAGGCAGTGGTCAGGAATAGAGAGTCCCTGGCCACTTGATAAATAGAAGAATAAAATAAGGGGAAAAAAAAATTCAATTCAAAAAACCAAAGGTCAGGTTTTCAGAAACTAACCTGGTAACATCCTTTGGTTGCCTGCTTATTTAGGCATCTATTAGGGGAATGAGACCTACTTTACTATCTTCACCTCATCTGTTGAATTAAAAGTCTTGAAAGGATGCCAGTAAGGAACACCTTACCTACTAAAAGACATGTCCTTCTACTTGGCCTCCCTGCTCTCCCCCTGCTCCCTTCCCAATGACTCCTGAAGATTTTTGCTATGCCATAGTATTGCTTTGACAGACTGTGTTCCTCCTCTCCAGAGTTATTCCTGAGAAGAGTAAATCTTCCCTGACTGAGGACTGCCCAATCTAAGGTGTACCTCTGTCATCACGAGTGCACAAACACAAAATATTATTTTTCTAAAGACCTTGGGCAATGCTCCTAAACCAGGAAATCTCCCCAAACACCTTGGGGCTTGCTTTTGTCTATAGGTCAGCATTTCCAGATACAGCTACAACACCCCCACCCATACAGGCATCAAACTCTAAAAACCAACGACCAGAGACAACCAAGTATTTGGGTAGTCACTTCAGAATCAATTGGGAACTAATTCTAATTCCTAGAGAAAAGCCAGAGCACTGAAACACAGCCATGAAGCAATACAGCCACTCATCACCGCACACCATCCCTCCCGCCAGCTGTGCTAGTGTTTAAGTTCAATGTTTTGCAGGTGTCTGCATGGCAGCAGGCTACAAACTAAGCCTCTCTCCAAACCTCTTCAGGTCAGAGATTTTAGGCTTTAAAACCTTAAGCACAAAAAGTGCACTTTGCAACAGCTCCTGTGGGTGTTATAAGAAGCAACAAAAGCTTTTAAGCACTCTTAAGAGAGAAAAAAATGACAATGAAATTGAGAGGAAATGGAGAAAAAAATAATCATACTGCAAGTTGCTGCTCTCACCTCCTGAATGCTTCCAAGGCAGCAGGAACCCAGGCAGCTAGTAACAGCTGCCACCCTATTAAAGTCAACAATTTACAGGTGCTTGGAGGGAACACTTGCACATAATTAGCCGAGCAAATTCACTCACTTCAAGATACAGGGGCCCAGCTCTCTGTGCTGTGGTTTGGATGTGCTTTGTTCACTCTTGGGAGTACTGTTCCAGATGAGGATGTGGTTGGTGGATGTTAAGAAAGCTGGAAAAACCTTACTCCAGAGTGCAAGCTTGTAATGATTGCAGGTGTATCAGAAAGTGTAATGTAGTCTTCCTGCTTAGCAGCTACTCTATGAAGAAGAGTACTGACACATGCCACTAGGTTTACAGAAAAATAGGAGAATTAGACTTTATCCCACATGGGCTTATTCCTTAGTATTAAAGCTAGCCAACCCAGATAACAGGGATGAGAAAGACTCAGGGGAGTAGACTAGTGCAAGTCACAAAGCTCCTGTGATGCCTTTGAAGTCTAGTTCAGGAAAAAAAAACTGCATTAACACTGACTCAGGCTTGTGCTACAAACATTCCAAAGATGTACTGTGATGTGGACCTGCCAAATCTGACAGCAGTATGTGCTGGGCAGGCCTGTGCCAGTCCTCAAGTGTGTACACAGAGAACCCTTGCCAGGAATGCTGCAGCTCAGAAAAGAAATGGCAGAGTTGCTAATGCCAACCCTGTGGCCAGATGAGAAGACTACTCCTTCCTCACATTCAGCCTCATGGGCATCCCATCTTTACTCCATGCCTGCTGCTTCCTCTTCTTGCTTCTGTTATCTGCCAGAAATGATAATCAGCAGCAACACGCGTAGTCTAGCGAAGCCACATATACAGTGAGACCTGACTAAATTCTTTCTTATTCTTTGATTATTTTTACCAGCAAGCAATGGGTAATTCAGTGACAGTGACCCTTTGCAATCATTAGGACTTTCTTGCACATATTGCTGATGAAACTTGGCCCACTGATTCAGGAATCTGACAAAGGAAACTAGAATCATTCTATACAAAATGGAATAAATACACTTCATGATATGATGTATCTTAGTATACTGCTTTTTCTCTTCCAGTTAATCTCATTATTGCAAATTAGAGAGTTTCTCCAGCAGAATAAAGGTGTATTCTCACACACGGAAAGGAAATAATTTGCTTCATATCACAGTAGCACTCAATTTATTCTTTGAGACTCTTGACTTGATGTGCAAGACTTTGGTCTCTTTGCTTGTATCAAAGTTGTGCAGAAATTAAAATAGCCCCTGCACACATCTACTCAAATTCAGTAGCACTGCTGTTCTGATTTAGCTATGATCTGAAGATATTTCTATATTCTCTTCGTTTTCACCTGTCCCTTTATTCCTGTTCTTTCACTAAACTGCAGAAAAATTTAAAGTATCCTCTAATTGAGGGTAATACAAAATTAAAGCTGGTTAGAAGTCTGTAATCAGAGAGCTGAACAGAATATTTTTAGTTAAGCCAAACAGCCCCACGATTACATCTAGCAGGGGATAATGTCTTTCCTCCATGAAAGTCAGGAGCGTACAGACAGTGTAGGAATATAAAGCACTGGGCAGAGTATAATAAAAAGGTGATTTAGCGTAATCCTTGGCTACTACTATAAATTACCACACTACTGTACAGGGCACACCCTATGATGATGTTCCCAGTGCTCAGAAATGTCCTTTTCCTCTGACAATACCATTTGTTGAGAAAAAACAGTGCCTGAGAGTAACATGAGATGGATATGTTGATAACTTCTTGCTAAATCAAAGTTTTATTTAACTTGATAGAGCAAACCTCAGAGACTTGTGATGATGCTACAACTTTAAGACAGTCTGAAGCACTCAAGAGCAGACTTTAAGTTGCATGTTTAAAATTCTTCAGGGGACTGGCTATAATGCTTCTGTTAAAAGCATCAGGAGAAGCCTAGTTCTTGGTCTCTGTAGGATATGCAGTGGTAATTGCCTCAAGATACAATATCTACCAAGGGCAAATCAGTCTCTGAAGTCATCACAGCCACAGTCTGGTAAGGACAGCAAGTCCACAAGTACCCATCAGGGACTGAAATTAGATGCATGATTTCCCAAGGCTGCTGCTGTGCTCATTGGAGAGAGATGGTCTCAGAGCACAAACTTGGCCATGTAGCACCTGAATGTCCCTCCAGAGATGCGTATCTGCTTCCATGGACTACAAAGATGATGATGGGTCAAGACCTAACGTAGGTGCCTTCATTAGATCCTAAAGATTCTGGATGGATCCAGACTAGATGCCTGTGAACAGTTTAATTTAGCAACAATGTTGCCCAGTGGAGGGTTGTGGAATATGAGGCAAGCAGTAAAGAGTGAAGGATTTTTGACCTTCCTGCAAAGAGTTGTGGAAGCAACTTTAGACTGCATTAGTCACAGCAAGCAGACAGTCACATAAGTGCAAGAAAACTTCAGTGTGCCCTAATTCTATTTATTACGAGATCTAAAATCAGAGACTACTCCTCACATTGTGTCTCTTAACTGAGTGGTAATCCCCCAACTTCACCTGCTATTTCCATTGTAGTTGCTGCTTGTTGCCATAATCCCTGCAAATAAACTTACTTTATGACATACTGATTCATCCTGAGACAGCCTTAGGCCTTCTGAGGCATTAACAGAAAGATAAGATCCACTGACAGATGTGAATGTAGGCTCAATCACTCAATAAGCAACCTTTTACCAACCAGGTATAATCCCTTTATCAGATTATGCCTGGCATATTGTATTCTCAGGTGTGGAGGTGCTCTTCTTAGAGCAATTAAGGAGCAACATTAGAGGAAAGGAAAAAAAAATTCCTTACTGAGGAATTTTACTGCAATTTCTCAGAGACAAACCAGCTAGGTTGTTATAAAATTTGGGTAGCTTAAAGGAGAACAACATCTCACACCACCTTAAAATGCATCCTTCTGAACTCCAATGGGCTATGCAGTTCAACCCAGAGTACTCATAATTTATATGATGCTTCATCTGCAAATAGCAAAGAGCCAGGAGAGGGTGCTCAACAATAACTAGAAGAGGTACTTGTTTGTTAAATGAACCTGCAAATACAATGACTGTGCCATGGCAACAGAGATGCTTACACATAGTCGCATATACGTCATCATCAAAACCAGTGTGAAAAATAGGGGACTTCTTAATTTCTGTTTCCACAAGGATTTTAATCTAGTTCAAAATGTTTTTCAATAGAGAGAATTAAGTTCACATGATAAGATTTTCTTTTGAGAAAACACAAGTCTGCCTCTCAAACTTTAGATGTAAGCAGCTAAAATTCTACTCAAATTCCTGTGCCCATGCGTCCTATCAGCAAAGAATGTGAACGTCTCCAGCCAGTCCACACAAAACACTAAACATGGGAATCTTGATGAATGTGAGTTAGCTGGAATTGTGCTTAAGCTGTTCAGTCAAAATATCATACCCTAACACCCAAAAGTACTGAACTGACCAAGGATTTTGGTCAAGCAAAGGTTTTCACTACATTTTTTTCCAATTTTGAATTAATTGTTCTAATTGAAGGTTAACTGAAACAATTCTATGGGAAATTTTAAAAATAATACCACTTTATTTGTCAACGATTTTTCAAGTAGAGAAATAGGGCATGATAGCATATAGAATATGATAGTCATTATATTTAAAATTATTACTCTGCAGTGAAGACAGAACCTTATTGCACATACAGATCTTGCAGGAGAGCAGAGCAGAAACCAGAACTCCATAGAAAGGCTACGTTCCTGTAATGTTGGTATGTGAGCTCCAACAAGATGAGAATCTGGGGCTATGATTTCAATAATGACTCACTTTATCCTGCTAACTGGCAAGGTTATTGTATAGCCTGTACTCTTTCTCACACAAATAACCTCATGAGATTGCATGTGCCACAGTGGAATGAGGGGAAAAAAGGAGGTGTGAATTTATCAATTAAATTTGAAGCAGGACTTTTATATGGATTCTGCAATCACAACTGCTTAAAATTAGAGAACAGCAAAAATTCAGGCTCTTTGGACTGAGTAAATGACTATAATTTGGATTTAAATGGCATAGGAATCGAAAGTAGATTCTATTTGCTGATTCTATAGCCCTGTTTTTCCTCATGAGCCTCCTACAATTTATAAAATTGGAAAATCAAGCTGAGCTGAATGACCAATACCTTCACCATGATTGAATTTCTCTTTCTTTCAGTCTGTGCACGTGATTGAGTGCACCAGAAAGGAATATTTTCCTTAGCTAACAAATGCTCATTTTCACTTCATTTTATCTGCCCTTGCTTAGGATCTCTCAGCTCAAGGAAAGAATACCACTGGGAATGATCTTATGTTGATAATCTCCTAATAACACAGATATCAAAGCGGATTTTGCCAGACAGATACTGGAGGAGCTTCATAAGTTGATACTAGAAAATACCCTTCCATCTTTCTCAGAAACAGCAAGGCACCTCTTGAACCTAGACAGCAAAGATCCTGAGCTAGGTTAAACATCCTCATTCATTTTATTGTCTGTGCAGGGGAAAACACTGATTCACACAGACATTATTTTCAAGGCCAGGTTTACTTCTTTGTAACTCCATTGCCTCCTGTGTTACCACTGCTTTATTCCCATATGTGGAACAGCAGTCTGATCACACTGTGCATTTTGACATGGTAAGTCTTGCTACCTAACAGCACATTTTGTTAATTTCTCATAGAAACAACTGACCATTAGATCTGTTTGATTTTCTACTATTCTGCTGCCTTTAGAAAATCCTAGGATCTTAGGTTTGGAAGGAACCTCTCTAGAGAACCTCTGTTCCATGCACCTGCTCACAGGCAGCACTGAGGGTGCTCCAGTCAAGCAGAAGATATATTTATCCAGGTTGTTCTTAAAAAGAGCTCCTAACATGTAGCATTTAAGGCCTGCAACCCCACTTCTCAGCTAGTCCTGTGAGCTAACTTCCATGACCTTCTTGGAACAAAACTGAGACTTAAATATTATGCTACACACTATATTCC